GTTGACTAATATTAGCTAGCTAAAGCTAACATTTCTTTTACTTAAATGAGCTATCTGATGTTAGCTAGCTGATAGCTCACTCAATCATTTCTAATATTGGCTTGGCATTTCATTACCACTGTAAAATGTCATATTTGATCTTTTACAATAAGCACACCATTTGTTTCACACTGGAATTTGGGAATTTTAACTGGCTAGGTAATTGAAAAATGTTAAAATTCAGGTGTGTTATTTCAAATGTATGATTACTACTTTATTGAATGCAGATTATATTTCATTCACAGTCAACATGAGCAAGAGGAGAGGAGATATTCCACACTTTTTTGGTGCCAAAAAAAGAGTAAGTTGAAACTTAAATGATAAGAGTTAGAATATATAGATAATAATGCAGCGTATATTTTTGAGTGTCTTGATTCTGGTTCAGCATTGTGTAATTGGCACTGTGCCAGCGACTAGCTAGTCAAATAAGCATACTCCAACAACATGTACATATGAAAACTAGTGATTTACTAGAAGGCTGTGTGGCTATATGCTTCTTCTTTTGGTGGAAGCTAGATGCTACTTAGGTTCCACTTTGTGAATATAATCCACACTTAATAAGACTAGGGGTCCTCCCCAGTGACAGCTGTGTTTTACCTGTTTATATATAAAGGGCTCCGACTGACAATCAGAATTGATTAATTCACCCACTAAGTAAACTAAGCCTACTAATTTTGCTCAATGTGTAGAGACATGGACACGAGAAGAAGGTGTGGTGCAACCCCCATTAAGCGATTATCCAGCTCTACCTTTGTTTTTCTTCACTATACAAGCTGTAAAGAACGGAAGATTGAATCGTTTGGATAGACTGCGAAGATCACAAATGCCTTCAATGATGCACCTCTGGGAAATAGGTAAAAAATGTCCATGTAATATTTTCTCTAAGGTCTGCAACACTTTGTGAAAAAACATTGATTGATGTTCGAACTGCTGAAGTCACAGATGGGGCTAGCAGTTATTCAGATGAATCAGCAGCACTGCAAACAAGCTAAGCAGCTAGTGAAAGGTAAGCACAATAAACCACTTTCTTAATTTGCTGTCAGAATAAGTTGTCTCTCCAGAGACAGTATACTGCACGTTCATGCATTTAATTTTTATTAAAGCAAAGCATTTGCTTTCAATCCAATCAGGTTGGAGGTACAATATTTGGCCGGGGAGGGGCAGAGAGCTCTTGCTGCCCAGGCAGGCCTGACGCCTCAACCAGGCTTTTACAGTAGGAAGGAGTGAAGCACACAGAGGTTTACCGCCATGCTGGGATCACCAGTTTAATGGAGGCTCGCCCTATCCCACATTCAAACCCTGCATCTCTTGGCTCCCTTCCGGCAGCTGGAGTATACTGGGGAGCGTTCCCATGGAAAAGCTGTTAAACTGGCCACGGTAGTGAGGATGAGGAACAAGTTTCCATCATGTTCTAACTAGCTACAAAGAGATTCACATATTGCACTGCCATATAGACTTCTCTACTGTAAGATAGTTCTAGTAGGCTAATTGTGATGTAGTAAGTTTTAGTTGGCAGTTGGAGATTTTGTCTGCTTTTTTCTGTCGTTTTCCAGTCTAGTGGCTACAGGTGTGTACATGACCAGGTCTATTTCCTCCTGAACTGACCTATGAGGGGTCTGAGTGAGCTTGTTTTTGCATCGTCTCCATGTTGCTATGCAGACTGACTTTTCCATTGGCTGGGTTTTACCAGTCATCCTTAAAGACAAGCCTGGTCCTGATTGTTCCGGATCGTACGGCGGAATCAAATTAGGGACTGGTAATGGCCATAAAGTCCATGTCTGAGGCATTATACTCAAGGGCGTGGGCCCACCTCACATTTCCCATCCGCATTTCCTTTCGTCCTCGTTTCTGAGTGGGACTGTCAGCTTTTTTCATTACCAGCTAATCTGGAGGATTTGTAACTAAAACAACAAACAGATAAAAACGCACAAATCAATGGGAGAGAGTGATGTTCCACCAATCAACTGTATGTTCATAATTGGCCAACTCATACATCATGCTTGTTCTTCTATGAATGGGCCCCATGCTTTGCAGTTGTTTATAAAATTCGAGGTGGATATCCTGCTATTTTTTTCTTCATCAGCGTTCACTCACTTCAAAGCCTCAGTAACTAAAAGCCAAAAGTATCTGCATTAACTTTTCCCCTAGCATAACCATAGGTACTTTACAGATGCTCTATATCAAGATGTGGGAGCATTTTAAACTACTTTAATATGTAAACAGTAGCCACCATACAATTACTAACTGTTACATGTGTCTGTTGTTGATTAGTTATATCCTCATTTACCCTATCCTGTGGGCATGCGAACACTGAATTATTGTTTGCTTTAAATGTGAATTATTAAAAAGAGCCAGCAACCAATTTTGAAACATTTCCATACTCCTACTTGTGAAATATTGGAGGCACTCTTCTTTTCTCTGCAGGTCCCTTAGGCTTTGAAATTATACTGTGGCATTTTGCTGGCACAGTTATAACAGGTAGATATCAATCTCTCCTTTCTAAAAATGTATCCCACCATCCTTTGCTTGGCTTTTGATGTGTAAGATCAGCACCGTAATGATTACCTTGTTGCGCAACACCTGTCACTCTAGTTTAGATTCTCGCATATTCTGACTTGCAGAATTCTTTTGGAAAAAAACCCACCAGATATCATCTCTGTTTATTTTAACCATAGCTGAGTCAGTATCTCTGCTCTGACTGGCCAGTGTAAATGCCTCCCTAAAGGCATTACAGCAGCAGCAATGTGCCAACACTTATGCTGTAATCAAACATTAATTCTTCCAGATCCTTCCAGGACAAAACACTTATCTCTAAGTAAGAAATTCAAACAACAGAGATTGGTCCCGTTAGTGTCATTGTTTAGGGTTTAAGTTATTTTGTATATTAGTTCAATTAATTAATTTGAGAGTACACTGCATGGTAATAAAGGACCATTAATAGGTCTGGGAGGTCTGGCAGCTTGTGAACAAAATAATTATATGAAAGCCGTGAATATATTTTTAATTACCATTTCCGTAAGTACTGCATTTTGATAGTGTGGCTTAGTGGTTAGTTACATTGTTGCTCTGAAGCATCATTCATGTTCTGGAGAATAGAAAAATATTCACCCTCTCCTAGAAGTGGTGACATTATGAAATCACTGCTCTGCAGAGAGGCATATTGGATACACACTCCTGTGGAGCCATTTGACTAAAATGAAGAACTGAATTTGTCATGTTTCCTCTAATTTTTTGTTCTTGACAGATGCAGCGCATTTATTCTCTGTAATTTTTTTCTGTGTAACTCTAAGATGTGTGTGTGTTCTTTTGTCTCCGATGTGGTGTTAATGTTAATGCACTGACTATGGCAACTCTTGCTCTGGTATTCATTATCCAATTCACTTGAAATCCTGTTCAACCAATTATCCAATGACAGTTGTATGCCTATTCTATGTTGACTATATGTTGTTTGCCTCATGTCTTTGTCCATTTTGACACTGATGTGCTCCAGTATTTTTCCTTGGACGTTTGCTGTCCTCAAATTCGGAAGCACCGGATTCAGCTGTGTGCTGCTTGGTTCCATTGTTGCCTCATAGAATGCACTGGATTTACATCTGATCCAGCTGGTCACCTTTTCTCTTTCTGTGTAGACGGCATGTTCTCCACACGTATGTGGCTGAAGCTCTCCTTTTACCACTTTGGGTTTGTCTCAGTGCAAATATATTCAGATTAGGTTGATTGAAGGGTCAAAATTACATGTAGGTGTGATTCATGTGTATGTATGTGTTGACCAATAATAGGCAGTATGTCTATCCTACTCAATACGATGCAGCATACAGTACATCATAACTTACATGTAACCTTGTGGATAACAGTAAAATAAGTAGTCATACCTGATTGCAATTGTGTTGGGCATCTATTGACAACAATAGTCATGTCACAATTGTGTAAAATGGTCCTACAGTGTCACATAAATGAGGACTGTTTACATAAAGTGGAAGGCAAGACCATGTCTGCTTTCATTATTTTTGTTCCAGTGTGACATTGAGCTATGTGATATATTATAAAGACATTATCTTCTTCCATCCAAACACACATCCTTACATTTTTTTTCTTACTCCTTCACCTAGTTCACAGCTCAACTCTTTATAAGTGTGTCTTTCTCATCATTGAGAAGTGGTATTAATGTTCAGTGACCGCACACATTGTGATAAATTCTTTTGCATGTTTATCTGCTCCATGACTCAATGTTTTTTTAGGGTCCTGACGTTCTAGATTTAATATGAAAATTTAAAAAACAGTCCACTTAAGGCAAAGCATGTTAACATGTGGCGAGCAGTCATACCCAGAGTGACTTTCAGTGACTGAGTGAGTGGTTTCAGCATCTTGCTGAAGGGCTTTTGGCCAGGATGTACGGCTGTTACTGCAATTGAACCCTTGTCCTTTACATGATGGGATGGTCACTGTAACCACTAGGCCACCCTGCCACCCTGAATAATCGTTAATGGGTTCTTCAAATAAGTAATATACTTGTGGAACGGAAGGGAAACCTTTCGGTGGACGTTGAGTGGGTGGTTGTAAAAGCAAGACTTCTTCACTTTATAAGACCTGAAGCTGCCCTCACATCTGGGCGGAGATTTTTCCCAAATTATTGCCATCATTTGTCGCTGCACTAGCAGCTGGCAATGAGCATCGGGGGTGGACGTTTGTTTCCTAAAACAGTGCAGCACCGGAGGGTGGTGTCAAGCACTGGAGCAGCCAGCTTCCTTTGGTGTGTAATTAGCCATGAAGCAGTTTGGTGACAGCATTGCTCCTTTTTCACTCTGAGCTAATATTACCTTACCTTACCTCACTGGCAAACCATAACCACGTCTCCTTTTACTGAGTTCACATTAGCATGATGCTAGTCTGTGGCCAGTCTGTAAAGGTATCCTACTAGTAGGACACTGATCCCCCCACCTGCTCACTAACTGCTGTGGACAATGTCCATCAACAACTAAAATATATAAGCACTTATTTGTTGTACCTTTGTAAAATCTTTCTTTTTTAAAGCATTACAGTCAGTGTTACAAAACTGACGAGATCTGAGCAGTGATCAGACAGTTTACCGTAACCCAACATTCAACAACTTTGCAGAGGAGCCTTAACTTCTGCCCTGCAGCTAAAAATGTTGCAATTATGATGTGAAAGAACACGTGATGAAAAATTTTCTTCCGAAGGCCAAGGGCAACTTATTTAGAGACGTCGGATGTGTTTTATCATGGCTCATTTAAAACGCATGTCAGCATTGTCACTTCAGAGATTAATTATTTTAAAATTTGGTGTTTACATTACAGTTTCCTTAAAACTCAGGGGTGGATTCAGTCAAGTGTGTTTAAAGTAAATAATTGTATAATGTGCTCATCCTTGCTGTGTTTAACACAAGTGCACAGCGAAGGTGAGCCCAGGTCCAGCATAACACAGGGAGCAGTTCGTAAACTTTAATTTATTTTATGAATATAAAACAACATATTGGCAAAGATTGGCTGACAAAGTTTGGGGGGTTAGAATAAGCTCAAGTTTGTAATATCTTAGATGCTGTTATCATAAATATCACAACAAAAGGGAATTTACAAAGTTATAAGAAGTAACAGTAATTTATCCCTGGAGAACCAAGTTAATAACTTGAAGCAGAGGATATATTAATGTCATCATATATAATTTCCATTGACACACCCGTCTCTGCAGTTTCAATACATAATGTAATATAGATACTTCATAATATAATTTACAGGGACTTACAGCATAAAACGATCAGGCTTCAAATAGTGTTTTCCACTTATATAATCACTCTGTTTGTCTTGTCCTGTCATGCTCACTGCAGAGATACACCTGAGTGAGTGTATATTTGTGTGTGTGTGTGTGTGTGTGTGTGTGTACTTGTACTTCCTACATAGTAAAGACTTGGTTTTAAGGGTAAGGTTAGGGGTAGGGTAAGGGTTAGGGTCACTGATTTTTACTGCTGAATCATTAATAGCTGCTAGCATGTAGGCCTGGGCTGACTGTGAAAGTATCAGGCATGTTTCTCTTATTATTCTAATAAATATTATTATAAAACATGACGATTAATATTATTATCATCAAATGTAGCCATTTTGCTACAATTACGCTACACACAACAGCTGTTTGCGACCTGACCTTTCTTTTCTCCGCGAGAGAGAAGAATTTTGAAAAGTTGCGTGGCGCTGCGGAGAAGCCCCCCAGCTGCAGTACCACATCCATGATGATCGAGAAATATAGAAATGAATGGCAATAAAACATGCTGTCAATATTTTAGAGACCCCCCAAAATATCACAAACCATACTTTTAGGGGAGCTGATGTCTTATTTAGGGGAGCTAAGCTCCCCCTGGCTCCCCAGTAGTTTGCACCCTGGATGTGTGTGTGTTTGTACATACTGTCTTTATAAGAAGCTATCCAGGCTAAAATTGCAAACTTGTCTTTCATACACACGCATGCAGACACATAAATACACATATACACATAAAGGCAGATACAAATGTATTAAAATACTCGCAAACACACAAAGTCACTTATATAACACACTTCATCCAAAATCACCAGCCAAGTGCAGTCTCTCAGATCAAACCTCCCTCAACCCATTCATCATGTGTTGTGTTCTATTTGACAAATTTCTCGAGCACAAGGAAATGTGCATGTGTGCGCTTTGTTTCAATAATTTTTTATGTATGGATGTGTTTTCTCAATAGTGTGTGCATAGTATCACTAAGTTAGAGATTGTGGTTAGGTATATTAGAGAAAGGGAAAGCTTTAGCGTTTTGGGAATGGATGCAGTACATGAAAGTCCTGAGACAATCACAAGTTTGGGTGCGCGCTGTGTATTTTTTGTAGTCTGTTTCATTCTGTCTATTCTGGTATGGGTTTTGTTTCTGTTTGCATGGTGCTTTACAAGCTTAATATAGTCCTCTAGTGTGCATAAATTGGTTTTGTAAAAGTATTGTCAATCATGTCTGACTGCATCCGATCTTGATCTGTGTGCACCGTTTACATGCTTGAAGCAGAGGGACCTTGTTTTAGCG